ACACAACAATACACATTCAATGCATACACACATGGGCCTTTAGTCTGCCTGGACCGCCTCGCAAGGCCTATAGGATGTCTGGAGCGCTCTACTGAGCCTACAGTCTACTGGACCATCTCATAAGGCCTACAGTAGTTGGACCGATCACTTGAGACTATAGTCCGACTGGACAGCCTCGCAAGGCCTACTGTACACATGGACCGCCCTAGTATCTTGGCCTACAACACAACGTAGGACCGTCTCAACCCAACCACAATTTATTGACATATGCAAACTAATAAACAATAATTAGCAAAAATAGGTAATCATATAGATTTAACAATCTAACAGATCACTACAACATACCAACATTTTGTACACAAGGATACATAATGTAGCACAAAATATAATGAGAAAACTCACTTTGCAGCCTAGCAGATAACAATACAACTCATACAATCCAAGAACCGATACTACGAGTCACCTATACCATAATTATCGACCAATTCTCAATCCAAAGCCTAAAACCCTCAAGTTGACCAAAATTCAACTTGGTCAAAAAGTCAACGCTCAAAGTCCAACAGTGAGTCACCACGTGTGGCCAAGCATTTGACAGGTCATGGTGACCCCACAACAAAACAGTTGTGAAGACCACCTAACGCCACATCATGGGATCTAAACCTCTATGTCGTGGGAACTATTCTATCTAGTTTAATGCATTAAGCTCTTAATCCTTCATGCATGTTTAATGCATTTCTAGAACTCCAACTATGTCAAAAATGGTGAAAATGAGGTCAAAACCTCATGAAAGGAATCAAAACTTAATCTTACTTGAGATTTGGAACATATAACCACAAGGGGACCTCAAGGATCCACAAAGTTGCCAAATTTATGGAATCAAACCACACCAACTAACCCAAATATGAAGAAGAAAGCATAAAAACCTAGATCTAGAAGCATAACACATAAAGATTGGAACTCAAAGAATCACAATGGTCCACAATATGTGCTAGAAAATGGAGGAGGAGCTTGCTTGTTGGGTCTACACTCAATGGACACCTTCTTTTCCTTCAAGGCACCAAAATAACCACAAAAGCTTCAAAAACTCAACAAGGGGGTAGGGTTTGCTTGGAGTGAAAGGGAGGTGATAGAGGTTGAGGGTGTGCAAACCCCATCCGTCACACCACTTAAATAGGGCTTAAGGACCGAAAAATTAGGGTTTTGCATGCAGGTGGCTGCCATGTTGTGGCCAATATCTTTCCACGTGGTGGCATCCAAAAAGAATACGAGTTTCAACTGGTGCCGCAACATCGTGGTGCCATCATCACCACGTCATGGACACCACAAAATCTTCTATTTTTAAGCCTCAATTACCTACAACTACAAAAGTACTTATACTTGGAACTTGGTGCTACAATATGGACTCCTTGTTATCAATCATTGTCCCTTACTTTTGTTATGGCCTACCTATTCAAGCAACTGCTACGTTTTCGATGTACTTGTAATTCTGGATGTACCCTTTGATTGAAACAATGTAATCACTACTTTTAAGTAAATAAAATCATATGACATGTATTATGAATTTTGTATTGTTTATTGTATGCTTTAATTGTTATCCGTTGCCATGTCACACACCCCAATGTTTCTGCCATCGATCGGGGGTGTGACAATATACTTCTATGAGCATTAGTTTTAGTTCTTCCCAAGTCGTGGCATAAGCTGAGTCAATGCCCATGCTTTTTGTATAGTCGTTCCTCCAGGCAAGGTATGTAGCGCCTGGTTCTTGGTACGTATTCTTTTATTTAAATCTTTGAGTATTTTGTGTTTTGGCCTTGGACTCGGCGAGTCACAGGCTCGACTCGCCGAGTAGGAGCGGGAAGGGGCACGGGGCTTAAGTCGTGGACTCGCCGAGTCGGGTCCCAGACTCGGCGAGTAGTCGCTGTCTGGACAAAAACCCTAATCCAGGGGTTTGCACCCTATTTAAACACTCTAACTCGGCCTCCCTTGTCCCTAACACTTCTAGAAGAGCTGTAGAGCGAAACCCTAGCCCCCATATTGTTCTTGTGAGTGATTTTGGCCTTGTGAAGGAAGTTTGGAGCTTAGAAGAAGAAGGAGAAGGTTGAGGAGTGCAAGGAGGGGAAGTAGATCCGAAATCTACTCTGTGAAAGGCTTCCATTCAGGTAGAAAAGTTCCTACCTTGATCTCTAGTTCATTAGATCCCCTTTTTGTCCCTAATATGTGGTTTTCAAGCCCTAAAACCCCAAACTCCATGTGTTTATGCTCTATGTTCTGAAAGGACTTCAGATCTGGACCTTATGGACATCTTAGTAGTGTAAAGTCTCTGTGGTTGAAGTGATTGAGGTCCCTCTTGAGTGTTTGACCTCATGAAGAGCTTGGATTTGCCTTTTTGAGCTCATAGGGCCATGCATGCACGTAAAGTTTGCAACTTTACGTGATAAGCATGCCCTAGGAGCTTAGATCTATGGTTTGGAACCGTTGCATGTCTTAAAATTGGTCTGAATGGGTGGAGAGTTGAAAGGACTCGGCGAGTGTCAAAGTGCACTCGGCGAGTTCTATGAAGATGGTCTTAGACTCGGCGAGTTGGATGAACAACTCGGCGAGTCCGATGAAGATTGCCTGGTACTCGACGAGTTGTTCTTCAAACTCGGCGAGTCATATGAACTGCTACTGAGTTAAGAGGGGTTTAAGTGAGAAACGTCCAACCCTCCATAGATGCACGCGGAATTAGCAATTTAACGTGTAACAATAGTCCCAGAAACCCAAATCCTCAAAATGGATGCTCTGGTGAGGATTTGGAGGCGAGTAGGAGATCTGCTCGTAGGGACTCGGCGAGTCGTTCTCGGACTCGGTGAGTCGGATCGCTAGTCAGTCTAATCGTCCCAAGTAGCGAGTTAGGATAACTCAGTGAGTGGGAAAAGGGACTTGATGAGTAAGATTGGAATGGTGGGAAAGGGACTCGGCGAGTCTGTGCCAGGACTCGGCGAGTCCAGTCAACTGGAAGTTGACTTTGACCAAGGAGTTGACCTTGGGCCAGGGGTAGGTCAGTCATTTGGCCGAAGGGTATTGATGAGTGGCTAATCTATGTTTATGGATTTATAGCCGTAGGATTTCCGGGGCAGCAGACGGACATCTAGCAAGCGGATTTTCAGCAGCTACGTTTCGAGGTGAGTTACCTTCCAGTAGGGGTGGGTCTACGGCCACAATGCCGGCCCGCCAATGAGGAGTATTTAGAAGATGATTGTCTTTGTGATAATTATGTTGGTCTGGTTATGTGTTTGGTTATGAGTTATATCTGTATGATATGTTACGCGCATGTTAGGGATAGTTTCCCTGATAGTGGTCCTTAGGACCGAGGGGTAGGTCAGTACCCGGATATGCCTGACTGTATGCTTATATCTTGTATTGTATGCTAGTGGTAGGGGGTGGAATAGTCCCCAGTTACCGGTTGAAAGATACCGATGAATGGTTACCGGTTGAAAGATACCGATGAATGGTTACCGGTCGGAAGATACCGATGAATGGTTACCGGTTGAAAGATACCGATGATATTGTATGGTATGTGGTATGATGGGGGAACTCACTAAGCTTTGTGCTTACGGTTTCAGTTTTTGGTTTCAGGTACCTCTTCGTCTAAGGGGAAGGAGCCGGCGGCGTAGCATAGCATCACACACACATATGATTTTCCGCATGGTGTTTTCTGGGATTGTACTCTGATATGACATTTGTTTATGATTGTGGGTTTCGAACATGATACTTGGATTTGAGATGACGTGTTTATACAATATTTTCTAATGAATGTTTTATGAGTTAATTAATCGAAAATGAATTTTTTTGGGCTTAAATTTTGGGATGTTACAAGGTATGTGTCCATAAAGGTGCATGTGTCAAACTTAACACGACAATTTTCTGCATAGGAACTGATAATAAGTATAGATTCCATATTTTTAATCCAAATGGCCAATCTTACAACTCCTTCATTTCCATAAATGGATTTGGGTTGGTAATTCATGAATTTGCCGTATGTGTATGCCTTTGGGACGTCACTATTACTTGTATATATGTTGTTTCCATTCCCATTTTGCTCAGAGGCGTTGTTCCTATTGGGTTCATGATTGGTTAGGGCGTTGGCAACTCATAGCATAACCATTTTTTGATTACTATTGCGTCTAATGGAGTTTCTCCTGGTACTAGTGCTGGTTGATTTTGAGTAATTCTTTTTGGAGACATGATTCATCATATTATACTTGTGTTTGAAAAGAGTATAAGTCGTACGGGAATATCGTTGTAAGTATAAGTTATGGTACTATAATCGTTGATATTAATAGTGTAGTAGAAATCTAAAACCATGATTCGTAATGGTTCACATGTGTGGGTATTTCCTAAGGTACTCATAAAATCTCTAATAGGAATATATGTAAAGTATTATAGTTGAGTAGCTAGTGTCCTGCAATAAACATCAAAGATGATTGATGTTTATGAGTGCTAGAGTTTCATGAGGATTTGAAGTAAATATTTATCAAATATTTATAAGGTGTTCACTAGAATTTTCTGAGAGTTGCTAAGTGTTTTTCTTTGTGTCTTGCACTGTGATCTTTCTTGAATATCTTAGAACTTCCACGCATTTTAGTCTATTAACTACCGAATCCAAGTTTAGTTGTACATCAATCTGACCATAATTAAACATAGGTGATCGGTTTACGTTTAGTTGTGGTTCGGCGGATGTACAACAAAAATTAGCTAAGGTATTTGACCTAAAACCTTGTGTTGTATTCTCATCGAGGGTTCGAGTTTTTTATATGTTTGGGTTATATATATATATATATATATATATATATATATATATATATATATATATATATATATATATATATATTATTAAGGATATTGCAAATTTCTTAAAAATTAAGAGGTACAACACATATTACCTCATGTACAATAATATTAAGCATATAACCAATCTTATATGTATTACACTACACGGATATACCTATTACACTGCACACTATACGGATCTTACCCTAATCTCCTAAACACACAGCCGCCATCAAACCAATTCTCATCGTCTCCACCAAAGATGCAGTGATCTCCACCAATGTCTCCCACCGAAGGTCCACGGCTGCCGACTTCCCCCACCAAAGATGCAGTGATCTCTCTCGCCTCTCTTTCTCTCTCTCGCGATCGCCATCAGAATGAAATGGAAACCCTAATTTCAAATTACCGTGTATTCGAGATGCCTACAACGAGGTATGTCCCCGTTTACTGTGATTACAAACTCCTAAACACCTCACGACCACACACACAAAAATGTACAAAACCACCATCGACATCTTCAAATGAACATCATCGCTTTCTTTTCCCAAGTCATTTATCCTCTGTGAACATCATCGATTTCTTTTCCCAAGTCATTTATCCTCTGTAAATTGTCAAGCACATTGAATAACTTGAAGGTAATTATAAGCCGATTCTTGATTTTTTCAGATACTATTCAGTCTTTATATGCATAACTTTTTTCTCAATCCCCGATTTTTGAGTTTCTTGATTGTGGGTATATGTTGATTGCGGTTGTTGGTATTAAGGATCCGCTTAGGCCAGGGGTTAAGGAAGCGGTGGAGATTTGTTTAGCAGTTGGGATTACTGTGCTAAATCAGATGTAGAAAAACGTGAACTCGCACCGAGAATTCAGGTACAAACAAAAAAACGTGGTGATGGCTAGATCAAAATGTAACTATTTTTTTTTCTTTTCCTTTATTTTGAAACTCAGGAGAATAGGTGGTTAGTTCTCCAAGACAAGTAATGACTTACAATCCTTAAGTACATTACAGGTAGTGGCTAGATCATCACCAACAGACAAGTTAAAGATTGTAGAGCATTTGAGGGGTCTGTCTGAAGTTGTTGCAGTCACAGATGATGGGACAAATGATGCTCCAGCTTTACATGAATCAGATATCGGATTCGCCATGGGTATAGCAGGAACAGAGGTTGGTTTGTGCCTCATATTCATGTCAATTTAGTATTAAAAACTTAAGTTAATGAAATAACTTAAGTTATTTGTGAGGAGTTCATCATGGTTTTCTGGTTGTTTGGCTATGGTTCATTGGTATGGAACCCTGGGTTTGATTATGATGATAAAATGATAGGGTACATCAAGAATTACAGGTGTGTGTTTGATCTTGGTATGCAGACTTTACCTGTTTTCATATTTATACATTTCTATCTTAATCTGGTTATTAATTAATATCATGTTATTATGCCACAGCATTCATTGATCATAGAGGTACACCTGAGGACCCTGCAAGAACGTGCACACTTGAATATAAGGAAGGAGCTGTATGTGTAAGTAACACCAAATTTCAACTTTTCCACGATTTTCAGTTGATTCTGGGACTTCTGAAAGCTAATTCTTAATCTTTCTTTCAGTGGGGCGCTTTGTATTGTGTAAAAGGAGGTGAGGAGAAATAAAGATTGGCAATGGCGGTATGTTTTTTACTCCATTACATGTTTTACATTTTGGAAACAAAATAAAAAAAGTTATATTTTAATCTTTCTTTAGAGACACATGTCATATCAGAAGAACTTATCTTACCTGGTTCTTATTTCTTTCAGTATTTAGAGAACAGAGAATGCGAATATGATCAGAAGACCACTGTAGACTTTTTCAAGGTGAATATACTTCTGAGATACATATATTCATTTTTCAATTATATAACGGATTATTCTCTTTTAAAAAACACAAAATTAAAAGCAGACATTTTGTTATCTCTTGATTCAGGAAGGACAGATTAGTGAGGCTACTTTATCAGGAGTTATTGTGTAAGCCATTTAATCTTGACATTTGAATAAAATTAGTGAGGCTACTTTATCAGGAGTTATTGCTTACAGAATGCATTTACTTCAAAGTGGTTTTCGTTTAAAAATTGATGACTAATTTGGTACTTGAAGTTAAGATAAAAAGATAAAATGGTGAATGGTGAATAAAACTAATTAATGTATTACTTATAAAGATTTCAATTTTGGTGATTTTTTTTGAGCAGCTGTGAAGGATAGAGACCACAAATTCTTGACAATCGGGTACATATGTTTCCTTTTTAACATTACATTCTTTTATATAACTGAATTTTGTGTGCCATGTTTTCAGATTCAGATAGATGAGCATTGTTTTTGTCATGGGCTTTCTATTCTATTTAGACTTGCATTATGGCATAGGTTGGTTAGGAATGACTCAATGATTGCGAGTTGTGATCATAGAGCTTCATGCTGGTCACTTACTTGTAGGCTTCTATTCAGATTGGATTAAAGGTAAAATATTTCCAGCTGTTTGATTTAACTTTTGTTAATTATTACTAAAGTAATGGTTTTCTATTTATATATCTATCTTTGTTTCTTGGGATGCTCTTACAACTTACACCTGATGGTTAATAAGAGACTAAAGGAAGGGAAAAGGGAAATTTTCTTATGACTTATGGTTAAAAAGAGTATAAAATAAGGAAAATGAGTTTGTTTATTGATTAAGATCTTCATGGTGAAGTAAATATGGCTAAAGTTACGATGATTATTATAGACTTTGGATTGGTCAATCTGCATTGTGCCCCTTCTTTGGATGATTAAGCCCTTTATGTTGATGTTATATTCTTTTGATGGCTTGGTTGAACTATGAACAATTTTGCCCTTACCTTCATATAAGATGTTCATTCTTATATTGGGTTGTTATTTATTACACTTAAGTGTAGAGTGATGACTTTTTTATATTTTTGCAGCTTGTAGTGGCCACCACTTGGATATTCACACCCGTTCACAAGCCATTTTGTTGTGGGGCATAGGAATGTCATTTACAATTAACTGGAATAATGGAAATCTAGACAAGGAAATAAGTCCTTTTGATGATTTTCTGGGATTTCATGCTTATCAATGTTTCACATCTAATTCATGATTTATTAATGCATATATTGCTTATTCGGACCAGGTGATATTTTTTCAATCTTCAGTTTGTTCTAATGACAAGATCTGCGTCTGCCAGCTCCCAATCGGTCTTCAAAGTGGTATTGCACATTGTCACCTTGGTAGGAGAACTAACTTTATTGATTTTCTTTTTTTATTCAGAAATTTGTATATGTCATCTCAACCATTTTCCGTTTTTCATGTTTTTCACTTCAATGGTCTTAATCAATTTGTTTCATCTACTTAGTTGTTTCTGTTAATTGTGATCTTATAGGGTGAGGCCAGTCAATTGATGCAAAGAAGCGAAAACTATTGTGTATATAATTATAAATTGTGTTAACTAGACTCTTGCAATAATTGTCAGGTGTAACATCAATGTATCCTCTTAATACATGATATTGCAATGTTTACACTGTTATGAGGAGGAAGATTTATATGATGGAATACTTTAGGGTTAAAGATTTTATTAAACTGAATTTGTCTCTTTCCCTCTTATTCTTTCCCTTTATGTTTGCATATTTTAGATCAGCACACATATTTCTATTAGTCACAATGTAAACTATTATGATTGTTTCCTTTTATAGATTTATCATCATATAGATAAACTGAAGTTAAAAAAAAACATTGTTTTTAATGTTGGAAAATAAAATGAGACGAGATATTTTTGTCAAATATTTCAAAGGAATGAAACATAACTTAACTTTTATCATCGAAATTAACATGAGATAGTGATAGGACTTTTTGGTAGTAGTTCTTCCATCCTTCGACTATATTTGTTAATTTGTTTAATATTATCAAATCTTTGGGTAAAACCTTGCATAAATAGACTTAATTAACTAACTAATTATAGTATAATAAAAATGATTTAAAAGAAAAAATAGGTTTCATTTTTAAACTTGAATACGAAATATTGCATTTTAGACAAAAGTAGTAACAATTAGACGCAACATACTTGATCCATTTTCTATAAATAAACAAATCTTAGATAACTTCCATAGGTGCTTTAGTTCTTGGATTATCATTTCTCTACTAATAAGTTTGAATGTGTGTGTTAATATCGAAAATTGTAAGCAACAATTTTCAACCCCCTTTCTTATCTACGACCCATTACAAGCCAACTAAAATAAATTAATTTTGAAACCATTCGCCGCCCCTTCCAAAAACCGATTTCCTACTAAACTGTGTGGAATGACAACATACTCAACTTTATTTTATTACTTTTTATGGCCGTTAAAAACAAAATTCTACTAGAACACCATGTCCCTCATGTTGTACTGACTTATTTTTATTATTAACCCAAAAAGCAATGTGCTTAAACCATAATCATTGAAACGAATGCATGCCCAGCTTTATATGGCGTTGTCTAGGTGATATCACGTGTCAATACAAAAGTATTAGTGAAGTTTGGCGAATAATTCAACGGAAGTGAAATTTATGCATCAAATGTAGTACATTTGTAAACAATCCCAACGTTTCCTTTTTAATTCTTATTGATTTCGTTTATGCTAGGATGACTCTAATTGATGATTGTTTACATATGTTAAACTATTTACGCAAAATAATCAATCACCTCGAGAAACTAATTTCTGAAATAAATTATTCGTACTCGTCGCTTGGCGCGGGTAAACGGTTAGTATATATATATATATATATATATATATATATATATATATATATATATATATATATATATATTGCAGGTCCGAGTCTTTATGTATATAACTATATCTTGTGTTTGTTGTGTTCATATGTATTATTAATTTTTGTTTGATACTTCAAATCCAGCTAATAAGGCACCAACCAGTAAAGATAGTTGGAGGATAGGATCATTTCGGCGTATAGCTTTTCTGAAATCCAGCAACCTAAGTGACAAAATCCATACTAGTCACCATTCTCGTAAGTAGTCTATCAGTAGTATAATCAATAATACATTTTATTTGTAATTTAAGGAATATAACTAACCTAAGAATTAGCCATATGCTATAGTCACGCTTTCCTAAGAAAGTACTAGTTCTCTATAGCCAATCGTTCTGATACCAATCTGTCACACCCTAGGCTGGCAAGCAGAAATGTTGGGTTGTGCGTGTTGGATCTATATGCCCAAGAATCATTATTGAGTGATATTGCTAATGACATATGATCCTATAGGGTCGCACCTTAATCAAGTTGGTACTTAGTGAATATTTATTAAGTAATTTTTTTATTAATAAATAAATTCAACTCTTGTATTTAATTAGAAAATAATTATTATTTTATGAAAATGATAATAAAAGAAACAACAAACTAGTCATTATATGATATGGTCACATATAATAGGTCATGTATAATGTTTTGGAAACTTTGGCTAACTATGATTAAATCAATGACTTACTCTACCATGGTTAAAAAGGTTGGAAGACAATTTTTGTCTTATCCTCTCTCAATGACCGAAATGGCTAAGGCATAGGAGATTACTCACATAGTTTCCCCATGTATGTCCTCATGCTTTGTCTTCCTTTCCTTTATGCTTTATAATACTTTATAGTATTTTAATGGTTTGACCTTACTTTGAATGGAAGTATATAAGGGTGCCTTATGCATGAGAAATGAGCTAGTTGTTAAAGTCTTCTTTCCTCTCTTCCTTGCAAAAAAAAATCGTAGGTAGTAAAGAAGAAAAGCTCTCTTCCTTTTGAGGTTCATTACTTGGCTTTTGGTGCTTCACTTTGTGTCTACCTTTAGTGCTTATTTGTTAAGAACTTAATGGCTTAAAGAACAACGTATTACAAGAATAAAACTAGCATTTTGGGTACCATATTCTTGTTGGTGGATTACTTGTAGAGAATATCAAGCTTCTTGTTCTTTCCATCTACTTTAACACTATCACACCCCAAAACCGGAACAGCGGAAACGTTCTGGGGTGGAGGACGTCATGTTAAGTATCACAAGACATGCATCATAGTAAGTAAAGTAATAAACAACCATTTCATTAGAAAGAAAGTGTTTACAAAGTATGAGTTCACATAACATAGACTACAAAGCAAATAACAAAACAAGACTTGAGATATACTGCTCCATCTCCTGAATTCCCAGAGCGCGTACCTGTCTACTGGTCTCCTGAGAATACAAGTTATTTTGAAAGCGTAGATCAGCATTTAAGCTGGTGAGTTCATATGATTTATGTGATGTAGTAAGTAGTAAGAAAGTTGTAGAAAGTTATAGTAAGTTGTAGTAAGTTCTGTTTAGAAAAGTTCGCCTGTTCCTCCAGAAAATCCTAAATTTCATGCTTTGATGAAAGATAAGTAAAAATGACTCAACAGTCCTTTCTATGAGTATTAAATGAATACAAGTTATATAAAACTCAGAGTAAACAAACAATCGGTTGTGTGTATCTGCCCTAAGCCCACAACCAAAAAAGGAACAGGAAATGAGGCGGAAGACACACATCCCATTGTTTGTTAGATCATCGTTGTATATAACCCTGGCGTATCCACTCGGTACTCACGGAGTTAACTGCAATAGTTCCTTTATGTTTGATGAAAAGATCCTTTAAGAAAACCCTTATTTCTTATAGTAAAAATGGTAACCACAGTAGTTCCTTCTGTAATCACTTAGTTTATACTAGCTATATATAATCTAATATCGAATAGCTAGTTAATTGTATGAATCTGCCCTAAGCCCACAACCAAACAAGGAACAGGGAATGAGGCGGAAAGCACACATCCAACTACCTATCGGATATTAATTATATATAACCCTGATGTATAAACTAAGGTATTATAGAATTAACCACCTAAGGTCCTTTAAGTTATACTGGTTTAATAAAAATGGATTAAACCCTTTACTGGTAAGTTTCTAGTTTTGTATACCAAAAGTTCTTGTTTGAAAAGTATGTTTGTGTACTAGAAAAACGGTGCATTGAATTAGTGTCCTATGACCTGGCCCATACCTGGTACCCCTTATTATTACTTAGTGTATACGGAAACATATATATATATATATCTAAGATCGGATAGATAGTAGGCTGGGTGTATCTGCTCTAAGCCCACAACCAAACAAGGAACATGAAATGAAGTGGAAAGCACACATCCTACTACCTGTCGGATCCGATTAATATATATCCCTGAATGCATACACTAAGGAATCATAAAGTTAGCATTATAGGCCCCCTTCTACTGAATGTACTAGACTCGACTGTTCTGTGTGTCGGTTGTAAAATGTAAGTTTTCCCTAGTTTATAACTATCTTGACTCGAAGATAGTTTGTATTAACTTTCAAGTGGAACTGTCACAACATGAAAGTATTTGGAAAATATAAGTACTCATTTGTCTTATGAACTGACATTCTGCAGTACTAATTACCTTAAAATATGTCTGTTTTATTAAGGTCATAATGTGAAGGCTAGTACCCATACTATATGCTCCCCCTGTCAAGAGATTCTGGGAACCAAACGCGACTGCAACAAACAAATGCTAGCCATGTAACTTCACATTAAAGTTATATGATCGTGTATACCCAATTTAACTATCACCTTTTGTTTAGAACAATGACTTAGTGATCCATTGGTATAATTAGATCCTGTAGTTGTCCCATGCTATAGTACCTTTATTATGTTCGTTCTGTTATAGTATCTTAGTATGTTCTCGTTATAGTATCTTAGTATGTTCTCGTTATAGTATCTTAGTATCTTTTCGTTATAGTATCTTAGTATTCTCTAGTATCTAGCATCTTAGTATCTTCTAGTTATAGTATGAACTAAACCCCTAAACTATACCCCTTATAGTTTACTAGTAATCTACTTGAACTGTTGTTGAAAAGACTCATTTTTCTACTAAGTTATGCTTGTACTTTAAAAATGGAGTTTTGTTAAACTATAAAGTAACATAACTTTAAAAGAGTTTTTGAAATGTTTTGACCACTTATAAATGACATAAGCAGTCTTTTGAAAATGTTTATAACAAACAATTACACAATTAACATTGTGTTCAACTTGTATTCCCCCCCCCTTAAAAGCATTTAAAACAGTTTAAAAGATTCATTATAGGGGTATGAACTCACCTTATGTGGGTGATTCAAACGAATATGCGCGTAAGGATGAGAAGTTCCACGAATGAAGTTCCGAGACTTAACGAGTCCTAAATGACATATAATGGCATGTATTGGCATAAATACAGTGTTTAGAAGCAACCAAATGCAAGGAAACACCTTACAGGACTAGGAAACACTTTGACCAAGTGTTGGAATCACATGTGATTCACTTAAAGGGAGTGTACGGCCACTTTGAGGAGTGTGCAGCCAGGGAGTGTGCGGCCGCACACTCATGGTCATGAGTGCACAAAGACGTTTTCCAAAGGTAGGGAGGCTTGTAGGACTAATGCTCATCAAGTGTTGAAGCTAGAAAGGCACTTTGGAGGCCCTTAAGCACTAAACAAAGGGGTGTACGGCCACATGGAGTGTGTGCGGCCGCACACTCCTTGAT